CCCAAGCTCTTTGGCCCTCATCAGAGCAGATAGCTCAGTCTTGGGCCTCCAGCTGGGCAGACCTTTGCCCCCACCTCTGGTCTGCCTCTCCCATGATTTCTCCTTTATTCTTGGAAGCTTCTAGAGTCCTCTCTGCTTTTCCTGGGCACAGTGGTCTAGAGTCCTGCCCACCACATGTCTGCCTTTGTCAGTCTGTTGGGGGAGCCAGACCCATATTCACAGAGTTTGGCATTAGGCAGAGAGAAACCAAAGTGAAATTTTCTCATAGCAAAGAGTAGGTGCCTTGCAGATAAAATATTCATTACATTCGAGTGACATGTATTTATTACATTTAAGTGACATGTTCAGGGTCCAAAGATCTTCATTTTATCTCAGTTTTCACTTTAGCAGTTGAAATTGTACCTTATGTTTGTGGGACTCCACACTTCTAACAAGCTCCTAGGTGCTGCTGGTGCTGCTGGGGATGGACCACACTTTGAGTGGCAAGGTATTACAGGCCTGTGCGTAAGGGGGCTGTGGGCCGGGCTGCCCTCTCTGCAGACAACTGTGGTGTGGTTTGGGGACCATGGAGTAGAAGGAAGCATGGTATGGAGTCAGGAAACCAGGATGTGAGTCATCACTCCCTCACCACATCTACGGCCTCTTAGCTTAATAGAGTTTGGATAAGTCACTTAACTTCTTTGAGTGGTGGTCTTGCCTGGCAGGCGGTCCTACAGGGGTTCTGATTCAGGGTTTTGAGAGGAAGTGCCCTGTGGAAATGAATGGCCTGTGTCTTGGCAGCCAGAGGGGCAGTGGGCCACTGGCCTGGCCAGTGGGGAGGGCAATGAGCTGAAGCTAGCAGGCAGGCACCACACCAGCATGAAGGCGGCTCTCATGGCTCTGGCTTTTCTCTGTGGCTGTCACAGCCTCTTGTTTCTGGCTCACCCAGCTGTGTGGGAAAGCTGGAGGGACCGGTCTGGCTGGGGGAAGGAGGAGAGCTTTGGGTGCCACAGGCCAGCCCAAGGCCTGAATGTGGATCTGAGGACTGGGGGTCAGGGCTGAGAACTATGGCCTAGAGACACTGGGGTCAGCTGTGGGCCATGGATGGACTTCTCACCCTCCGAAGGAAACTGGGAAGGACTTCGTAGTTTGGAGCCTTAAACTGGGAGCTCCCTCCACAGATAGCTATAAAGAAATGCCCTGCCTCTAGCATCTGACCCCAGGAATAGAGCTGGGCAGAGCCTTAGGCCCCTGGGGTGCTCCCACCCCTGGTTCCTCACAAACCAGCCACAATGGACCAGCCAGGCCCCTTCCAATTCCTAGGACCAGAAGGCAGCAAGTCAGCTGAATCCATTTCTCAGATGGAAAATTTGAGACTCATGTCTCCCCATTTGCGGGAAAGATTTCGGCCTTTAGGGCTGTTGCCTGTTATCCAGCAGGGGCCAGGGCCTGATATATCATGAGCTTGCCCCTCATTGGCCCCAGGGAGGGTGTCTGCCTCCTCATGTTCCCACAGTTGGGCCTCCTAAGGTTCTGTGGCTGGGGCTCAAATCTCGGCTCCTCTCTTTCCTAGTTGTGAGATCCTGGGCAAGTCACTCCACCTCTTTGAGCCTCAGCTGGCTTGTCCGTAAACAGGAATAATGACACCCACTCTGCCAAGCTTATAGGTTGTTGTGAAGAGGAAATGAGCCCTGTCACTGAGCACTGTGGTCATTATCATTACTCATGGCATTTAGAGGCCCAAAGAGCCCCAGATCACCTTACCTTGTGCCCTCATTTGACAGATGTGGCTATCAGCTCCTGGAGAAGGGAGGCAGCTGTCCAGGAGTCTCATGGTTGATCAGTGGATGAGCCAGAGCTAGAACCCACGTCTGCCGGCACCCCTCCTGTCCTGTGACTGCTGCCCATCCTCGAAGGTGCTCCAAGGGCCACACACCGTAAGCCCGGGGACCCTGGGGTCAGGCTACAAAGTCTCCCTCCAGAGGGAGGGGGACGAGACCTTGGTCCCAGCACTCCCTCCCTTTGCCAGCCCCAGCCATGAACTACGTGGGTCAGCTGGCTGGGACCGTGTTTGGGACGGTGAAGGAGCTGTACCGGGGCCTAAACCCGGCCACGCTGAGCGGTTGCATCGATGTGCTGGTCGTGAAGCAGGCGGACGGCTCCTTCCAGTGCTCGCCCTTCCACGTGCGTTTTGGCAAGCTGGGTGTCCTGCGGTCCCGGGAGAAGGTGGTGAGTGCTGGCATCATGCTGAGGGCCACTGCGGGGTGGGCTTTTGAGGCCAGGGTGGCCACTGCAGTCGCAGGAGAGAATCCAGGCCTCCCTTAGGTGGGGATCTGTCCTCAGGACAGGCTTCCTTTCATATTTTTTTTGATAGTTTTGGGTTAGTTTGGGGTTTTGGTCCAAGAGGGTTCCTGTTTCCCCTAAAAGCAGCATGGTGGAGCCATGGGCCCTGGCTTTAGCTTATTAAGACCTTACCTGGGTGTTCTTGGTAAGTTGCTTCACCTGTGCAAATGGACGTGCTCTCTGCCTGGTGATTAAACAGGAGCTGATGACATTATCCCCGGCCAGGCCCATGGGTGACTCAGAGGTTAGCACCGAGATCCAGCATGTGAAACAAGGCTTGGTGGGCCCAGACCCCTCATGCTGGGGTGACCATGAACTTTCCAGAATCCAAATAGGACAGCGTAACCTTGTGGGAGACAGGATAGCTGAATAGTTAAGAGCTTGGCGTGTGGACTCAGACTCTGGGCTCATAGCCTCATTTGGCTACTTCCCAGAGAATTACTTCATCCCTCTGAGCCTCAGTTTCTTCATCTATAAAGGGGGGATAATGATAGGAGTTGCTGCAAGGGGTGGCTGTGAGGATTAAACAAGATGGTGTAGACAAAACATGGTACCAGTGCCTAGGAAATGGGCACTCCTACCATTGTTGGTGTGCTCAGCAATGTTTGAGCACTGCCCTGGGGCTGGGACTCAACAGTGACAAGATGAATCATGTCCTTGTTCTTATGGGCTGTGGGAGAGCGAGGACCACGGAAACCAGGGCATAAACAAGAACACTGAGACCATGAGACATGCAACAAAGCCTAGAGAATGGGGAACTGTGTTGGGGGGCACAGAGAGCTCAGCCAAGCCTCCTTGAGGAAGCAGAGACCCTCAGTGGGGAGCAGCCAGGTTCACCAAGGGCTGGGGAAGATGGTTCCAGCCAATGCAGGGCTCGAGGGGCAGCAGGGAGCCCGTCTCCTGGACCAGCTGGGAGGCCAGCGCCCAAGTGGACTGGAGCGTGGGAGTAGGGGCAGACGGGGTGGGGGAGCATGTGCCTCATGCCCCATCACTCGCTGTTTCAGGTGGACATCGAGATCAATGGGGAACCCGTGGACTTGCACATGAAGCTGGGGGACAGCGGGGAGGCCTTCTTCGTCCAGGAGCTGGAGAGTGATGAGGTAAGCACCTCTGTCCTTGACAGCACCTGCCCCTGCCCCTTCTCTAGTGCCCCCTCTGGGCGGGGCCTTGGGGTTTGTCACTGTCCCCACCCAGGCAGTACTCTGTCAGCGAGGGTCTGATGCAGGGGCATGGGTTAGGGCTGGCACTCATGATATACTATGGGTGCCTGGGTAGAATTTGGGGGGGGGG